GCGCCGAGGGCGGGTCTGGGAGCGTTTCGCCGCCCGGGGCGCCCCGCCCGGAGGAGACCTTTTGGAGGAACGGTTTCCGCGCTTTCTCTCCTCTCCTAATCGTGCAAACAAAGCCGCTCATTGCGGACGGCTAGTGACGCGGGTGAGTGACAGGAAAGTAAAAGTAACTGCAATCTGGCGATGTTTTCGTCGGGAGGCTTCCTGATACTGAAAATTTTACGCATTGTTATGCAAAGTCATAAACATGCATTACGAAATGGGATCCTACTATTGCTTTTAAAATCTTACCGCGATCAAACAGTGCCATGATGAAATACACATAGCATTTACCAAATGATACATAAACATTTACTGTTTTCACCATTTCAAAATGTATAATCGGTGCCATTGAGTACATTCATACTGTTGCTTATTGGAAAACTGTATCTTCCATTGGGGTAATGCAGTTCATATACTGGTTGATTTTGGGGCTAGCATTATGGTAGCGCTAAAACATGTTTCCAAGTAGAATTAAAAGAAAACATTTTGTTTGCTATTTTTTCCCCATAGTACACAGTGCCCGAGGCTGTAAATAGAAACATTTTGTTTGTTAGAATTGTCTACAGAATGAAAGAGTTGTCTGTAAAATGCAGTTTGTTAAGCAGGAGGTGCATCTCTAACCTAAGGCCGGGGGTTCTGTCCTCTGACCTGCATAGGCCTAGGAAGTCAAGGTGTCCTTCTCAGTTAAAAGGGGTGGCCAGGAAAGAGCATCCGGTTTCAAACTGCTTGTGGTTCAAAAGTGAAGACTCATTCCTATTAGTCGGTTGCTTTACAAGGAGTGTTTTTAGCTGTTTTTTTGATTAAGGGTTTCAGGGAATTTCCATCTGTTAATACACACAAGTACATCCGTGAGGGACTGACCACCAGGCTGCTCTCTCACATGTTATGTTAAAGCTGAAGATATCAGACAAATTTTGGTTTAAAAAGTAATCCTTGCCTCTGCCAGGTGGCTGGCTGGGTTGGTTGGAGCGTCGTCTGGTGCACCAAACTGGTTGTGGGTTCTATTCCGGGTCAGGGCACAATCCTGGGTTGGGGGTTCTGTCCCCAGTCAGGGGGCTGGTATGGGAGGCAGTTGATTGATGTTTCTCTCTCATGTCATGTCTCTCTCTCTCTTTTTCACTCCCTCTCTTCCTTCCTCTCTAGAGTGAATAATCATGTACTTGGGTGAGGATTTTTTTAAAAAAAGTAATCCTACCTATAAGCTGAAAAGATGGGAATGTTTTGGAGATAAACTTCTATATGTGCTTAAAAGGGAACTGGCAAAAGCGTAAGAAATACGAACTGTTCCACCTTTAAGTTTTCTGTGGCTCCTATAAGCATTCTGTGATGTCAGAGAGTAAAAATGCATAAAGCATAGTAAACATAACTTACCATATTTTGCAGTCTCCAGTATTTTTATATCAGAAACAATCTGAAGGAGCTTCCTCTTTTTTTATTATACAAAATAGCACCTGTCACTGTCTGAGATAGCAGGTGTTTTATTAATTTCATTGTCTGCCTTCCCATAAGGTCCTCTGGGCAGTGCTTTTAGTCTGCTGTATTCACTGCTGTAACCTTAGTGCTTAATACATAGTAGTTGCTAATTAAATATTTGTTAAAGAATGAATCCCTGTTGGAGATAAGAAATCACTGTATTTTATGTCCCTGGATTGCTAAATTAATCCTAAATATCTAAGATAGAAATAAATCAGAAAAAAATGGTAACAACTCAGACATCTTCAATGTAAAACCTTTTAATTTTGAGTAATTGTAGACTTACAGAGGGTTATAGAACTGTACAGAATTTCCTTAATCTCTTTACCCAGGTGGCTTTAAGCTAATATCTTGCATAACCATAGTACAGTCATCAAACTTAAGAAATTTATAGTGGACAATCTGATTAATGAAACTGATGACTTTAATCAGAGTTCATGAGGTTCTGACTATTAACCCTTTGTGTTCCAGGATTTAATCTGGAATCCCTCATTTATTTAGTAACCATGTCTCCTTATTTATTTATTTATTTTTTAATTTGTGGCAGTTTCTCAGTCTTTCCTTGCTTTTTATGATGTTGACACTTTTGAAGTTGTGTTTTTAGAATGACCATCAATATGGTCTTGTTACATGTTTTCTCCTGTTTTGAGAATGATACTGATGTGTCTTGTTACTGGTGATATTAATCTGATCCTTCTACATTTCTTAACTGAAATTTTGTGTGAGGAAGGTTTGTGCCGTCATCCCCTTTTGTTTATTTGTTCAATTAGTTATATCAGTGTGTGATGTCGGAAGTGGAACTTCTTTGGCTTGTAATGCAGTGCTGCTGTTGTTCATTTTGTTGCTTAAGCTATTCCCGCATTGGCCATTGAGAGCTCTCTCAGGTTGCGTGTCTCCCTTGAGGTGCCCCCTCCTTTTCTGTGTCTTTGCCTGACTTTCTGGCATCACAATTAGCATCTTGTATCTTCTCTTCTCTGGCCTGGAATCAACCACTTTTCCAAGGACCCAGGTTCTGTTCATTAGAGAACGAACGGTATTTAGATGCCATTAGGTTTGAGGTTATTTCTTCTTTAATCCTCGCCCGAAGATATGCTTTCATTTATTTTTTTATTTTTTCTTTCTTTCTTTCTTTTCTTTTTTTTTTTTAGAGAGAGAGATCCATTGGTTGCCTCCCACAGGCACCCCAATCTGGAATCGAGCAATGCTCCAACAGAGCCACTTGGCCAGGGCGAGCTCATTTCTTAATTGAGATATTTGTAAGTATATTTTAACATTTTAAATACGTTCCGGGAGGGAAAGCTTTCTTTAGTGGCGATTATTGAGAAACTTGTTTGCTTATTGTCCGTGTATAGCATAAACCTAGGCACTCTCATGTGGGTAAGAAAAATTTGAGCGTGAGAGACTACTTAATCAGGATTTTTAAAGGAAAACAAACAAAATTACATTACATCTGAGTTGAAGAAGCAAAATGACAAAAAGAAGAAAATGTCCCTGAAAAATGGCGAGACGATGGCTTGGGATTTCCCTTGTACTTTTCAAAGCCATTTCTGTTCATTGTGGGAATGGGGTGGGTTAGGGTGTAACTCTTGCTGAGAAGGGCCTGACCCGGCTCAGGTTGCTTCCTAGGCCCTGGGGGCTCACATCTGTGGTAGAATTTTAACAAGTTGATGAATGAAGCTTTTCTGTCCTCAAAGGCTAGTTGGGACATGAGACATCCCGTGGCATTAGGATACCTGAATTTCACTGCGCTGGTTCAGTTCACTGGCCCCCATAGCTTCCTGTGCTCTGGGTCTTTCATTCAGAGTTTGAAAGGCCCACTCCTGGGCCTTTTATCTTTAGCTTTATCCAAGCTCATAGACCTGGAATCCTTTGCCATATTATCAGGCAGTCACCCTCACTTTCCTGTTTGTCAGTTTTCTCACCAGCTATTTACAAATACTTCACTATCTCTTTGGACATTTCTGCACAGCTCCTTTAGAATATGCCAGCTTGGAGGCTTAGTTTTGGTGCTAATTTCACTGTGGGTCTCAATTCCCTGAGTTAGGTCATTACCATGGATATTTCCTTCTGGTTGCATTTCTTCAAAATATTTGTCTGGCCTCAGGTTCATTGTCTTTAGCCTCACTGCCAGGTTTCTCTTCACCCTCAGCCTCACTCTTGTGTTTTCATTCTTGAGTTTTCTTGCTCTCTCCAGTCTGTTCTGCTGGTTTGGCTGGGAAAGCCACCCTCCTCCCCCTTTCTCTGACCTCCAGCTTCCTCTGAGCGGCGTTTCAGCTTCCTGACTGTGCTGCGGGAGCTGGAGCCTGCCCCTCTGGCTCCTGAGGCGCCCTTCCCTCCCTGCCCTCCTTTGCTATGGTGTCTTCAGGTCTCCTTTTCTAGGTCTTCAGTTATTAATTTATTTCTCTTGTTTTCTCCAAATACTTCTTACCCTGTCCCATCCCTCTTTTTCCAAAGCAAGGCTTCATTTCTTCTCTGCTGAAACTTTAGCAGCCTCCTCAGCACGCATGGCCCTTAATGTCGTTCTTTACCTGAATTCCTGCCCTGGAGCAGGGCTGGAATTTCTCCTAGTAGCTGGATGATAGCATTCTTTCTGGGTGAGTGTTCTTCCTGTCTCAGTTACAGTAAGTTCTTGTGGGTCTAGCAGTGTTACAGCAGAAATTTGGTCAGAGGGAAGAGACAAACTTCACGCACTCCGAGGATCAGAAAAGTCCGTTGTATTCCGCATCGGTGCTGGCCCAGCAGAGTCACCTCCAGAGGCTGAGCACAACCTCATGGCCCACAGTTCTTTTCAAGGTGCACAAATTTGTGCACTGGGCCCCTAGTCTTCTATAATAATAAAAGGGCAATATGCTAATGAGACCGGACATCCTTCCTGACGAAGCCAGGGCCAGAGGGAAGCCAGCCTAGGTCCCAGGTGCCTGCGGGCGGCCGGGGGAAGGAAGCATCCTGAGTCCAGAGTGCCTGCAGGCGGCCGGAGGAGAGAAGCGGCCCAGGTCCCGGGTGCCTGCCGGCAGCTGGAGGAGGGAAGCCTGGGTCCCAGGTGCTAGAGGGACCCGGGCTGCCGGAGGGAAGCTGATGCCGGCAGCTGGGGGAAGGAAGGCCTACTCTTGCACGAATTTTCGTTCATCGGGCCTCTAGTTGTTTTATAATGAATGTAGGGGAGGAAGGCTTTGTTTTAGTATGGGTGAAAGTAGTGGTTTCTTTCTCTCTTCCTTTCTGTTAGGGAAAAAATGGGGGGGGGGAGGACAACAGTAATTTTCATAATTCACAGAAGTTAGCCTGAAAGAGAAGGCTGCATCCTTGCCACTGGCTGCTGTGGGTAGTGGTCTCTTTAAATTTGCTAACGGTGGTAAGGGATGGAGGGTGCCATGGTTTCAGGGGCGACAACCATCACCTGAGACTTGGTGCACTTTGCTCCTGGTGCCAAGGCCTGCTGTCCATCTCACACTTTGTAGATTTTTGTTTTAACTCTTTTCTTTTTTTCTTAAAAAATGTCATTTGTATTGAGGTAGCATTGGTTTATAACACTGTGTTTCAGGTGTGCAGCATTATAAAATGACATCTGTATGTAGTACATCATGCTTACCACCGGAATCTAGTTTCTGTCTGTCACCAAGGATTGACCGGTCTTACTTGTTTCCCCCTCCTCCTCCCCTCCCCCTCCTCTCTGGTAACCGCCAATCTGTTATCTGTCTAAGTTTGTTTGTTCTTTTGCTTGTTGGGTTTGGGGGCAGCATGTTCCTTTTTTTCTTCTCTGCCTCACTTCCCAGTATTTGTCTTACATTGTTCTCTTTGTTCAGCCAGCCTTGTCTGATTTGGTTACTGACTGAGTGGCTAAAACAGAGCTAAGGTCACCGGGATTTTTCCAATCGCCTGAGCACAGCCACTGTTTGCACACAAGTTCCCTTCAAGAACGCGCTGCCCCTTTTCCTCGGGGCCTTCTCTTCAGTCCCGGGAGGCATTACTTGGTGGCTTTGTTTTTTAAGCAGAATTATCATTGATCATAATTATTGATCACTACTCATTGTAAGAGTAGTGCCTAACAACGCAGGAGACAGACAAACAGGAGGGGAGAGCCCTCTCATTCTGCCCGCCTGAGGAGATGATGGCTGAGGACTCTGGTGCTGAGGCTGAGGAACTTGTGCATATGCAGACTGCTTTAGTTTTATTCATCTCACGACTAAATGAGTTCATAACTATAATTCATAGAAGTTTGGGTTTTGTCAAATACTTTTTCTGTGCCTATTGACATCATCATGTGATACTTGTTTTTTATTCTACTGATATATTAAATTACTTTAATTACTTTAATCTTGCATTCCTAAGATAAAGTCATAGGGTATAATTTTTCTTAGATGTGGCTGGATTCAGTATGCTAGTATTTTGTTGAGAATTTTTGCGTTTATATTCATAAAAGAGATTGATCTCTTTGGTTTTGGTATCAGGTAATACTGTCCTCGTAGAATGAATTGGGAAATGTTTTCTCCTGTTCTATTTTTTGAAGAGTTTGTGAAGAATTGGTATTATTTTTCTTTAAATATTTGGTGGACTTCAGCAGTGATGCCTTCTGGGCCTCGGCTTCTCTGTGTGGGTAGTTTTTGACTACCAGTTCAGTCTCTTCACTTCTTACAGATCTAGTCAAAATTGGTGTTTCTTCTCGAGTCAATTTTATCAGTTTGTGTTTTATAATAGTTTGTCAATTTCATCTAAAATATTTGTTTGCAAAAATATATTTTAAAGTCTTTTTATTTTTGTAAAGTCAGTAATATGTTTCCTCTTTCACTTCTGATTTATGTAATTTGAGTCTTCTCTTTTTCTTTGTCAGGTTAGCTTACGATTTATCAATTTTGTTCTTTTTCCAGTGTCTTAAGGTGGAAAGTTAGGTTATTGAGTTGAGATCTTTCTTAATGTGAGTATATCTGATAAGGCCTTGTACCTATGTACAGTATTCTGGGATATTTTCTCAGTTTACCCCAAGTATGACCATCTAGCCATGCTGATACTTGCAGGCCCCACTGCGCAGATGCTCACATGCCCTCTTCTCATACATCCAAGATGATCTGAACTAACAGGATCAAGCTCCACCATCCTTCTCACATGCCTCCTGGACACTAATATTGGTTATTTCATTCTCTTGCCAGTGACGTCTGATGTCCCAGCAAATGGCATTATCTACTACGGTGCTGAAAAGATACTCCCAACGTCCCAGCGGCGGCACGGCTAACATAGGCTTGGTTTGCACTCTGCTGTGGACACCCTAAGCAGGAGTGATGCCTCCAGGCAGGTGGTATACTGTCCATCCAGCACAGGCCCAGGCTTCAAGGGAGCGAGAACGCCTTCAGCTGGTGAAGAAGGAAGAAGAGGATGAAGGCTACCCTGCAGTGCAGGCTCCTAGGCCCCAGACACTCAACCTTCCTGGCCAGGAGCTGTTCCGCCAGCTCTTCAGACAGCTTCGCTACCACGAGTCTTCTGGGCCCCTTGAGACTCTGAGCCGGCTCCGGGAGCTCTGCCGCTGGTGGCTGAGGCCCGACGTTCTCTCCAAGGCCCAGATCCTGGAGCTGCTGGTGCTGGAGCAGTTCCTGAGCATCCTGCCCAGTGAGCTCCGCACCTGGGTGCAGCTGCACCACCCTGAGAGTGGCGGGAAGGCTGCGGCCCTGCTGGAAGAGCTGCAGAGGGACTTCAATGGGACACCATGGACGGTGAGTTGAGCAAGTGTGCAGCCCCCAGTGAACTCTGCCTGCCAGTGAGCCAGCTTGTTTGGGGGTAGGGTTGGCCTCGGAACCTTCAGCCCTGAGGAATGCAGGGGAAGTCTTCCCTTCTCAGTCCCGTGGCGCGTGAGCAGCTGAGAACTATACCCTAAGCCAAGGACCTTATAGCAGGCAGCCCTTCCCGCCTTCCCAAAGATGATCCGCTGCAGGAAGAGTATCCATAAAACAGGAACATATTTTTGGACACAGTGACCTAGAGTATACAGAGTCCATCTCCACCTATTGTCTAATTGGTCTTGATGCTGACCTGTTAAGTGGGGGTGATGTCTCTTGCTTGTAAGGAGAGGAGTAGAGTCTGGACTCGTGGCCTCTGAGGACATGTTAAGACCAGAAGAGCAGCCTGCATGTGCCATAAGCCTTTGAGGGTTGGTTCTGTGCAGGGAGGAGGCATCCCAACCTCAGTGCTCTTGCCCACATTGTTGTTCCTTTCAGAGCCTCAGTTTATTGAAAAGAAAATGCAAAACTGATCTAACAGTGAGAAGCTGCTCGGTATGTATTTGCCTATCATGTGCTTGGCCCTGGCCTTGGTGCTGGACGTGGGGCTGCCAGTCCCAGTGCCGTGCTAGAGCCGCAGGTCAGTTCAAGTGCACTCTGCCTCTCAGCGCTTCCTCCGTCTTTGGATGCTTTTAAGATAGCATTTATCATTTTTGTAGGCTTCTTTAAAATTGTTACTTCTATAAAAATATGTATTTCTATAAAAATATGTTATTTCTAAAAAATATATGATTCATGCATAAATAAAAGTTACTTTCAAGATTTCTGACACATATTTGACATACTTCTCCCCCAAATTTAAAATAAAGTTAAACCAGTCAACTAACACATCTGAACATAGTCTAACAGCCGTAAGTGGTAATACAGCAACACAAGGGGTGACTATTACAAAAGAAAACCTCTTTGCTCAATATTGGGTCCTATTTTTAAAAAATCTAAAAGAGCAGTTATTCTTTTTACTAAAACAATGAGATCAAAAAGATCTAAAAAGTGATTTATTAGAGCAAATAAGGTACACCTCAGGTATAAAATTGTGGCTTGGTTGTATGCAACTCATTTAGGTCTAGATGTGAGGTTTTGCAACCCATGAAAACATTGCCAAATGAGCAGAGAGGGCCTACCTGGTCAAAAGCAGTTAGAAATTAGAAAACATAAAACAGATGGGGAGAAAGCCTCCCAGATTCTGAAAAATAACAGAAATGCTCAAGATGCATATAAAGTTACAGTGTCACTCTGGGGTTCATCCAGATGACCAAAATGTGAGAAACCTAAGGGGAGGGGTAAGGGGGGGGCCTGCAAAAGTTTATCCTCCAACTCATTTGGCTGTGCTTCCGTAGTCTTCCTGTTTCTTTATCCTCCCTTTGTGGGGTTTTGGAGGACTAGGAGACAAATTACTGTGATGAGTTGATCATCTTTAGTCTGTAGATCAGTATCAGATGTTTAGTGGCCTCAGCTCAAGTTCCATCAGTGTCAGTGTAGAGAATGTGTTGGCCCAGGGCCCGAAAACTTGAGGTTCACTGGCTGTAGTTTTCTGTTCTCATTTTTACACCAGGCACAGCCTTGCTCAGACACCAGAGCTACTTGAAGGCCAAGGCAAAGGCTGCCTCATTCTACTCGGGTGGGCACTTGTCATTGTTTGCACCTGAGACTTTTTCTTCTGCGGTGCCATGGCTGCCCCTCGCAATTAGCTTTGCCTCTCTGTCATTGTTACTGCTTCCTCAGGTTTACAGGCTGGGAGTCCTGCCCCTTTGGGGTCCCTTTGCATATAAGCGCCTAGAGCAGTGCCCTATACTTGGTAGACATTATGCATCTGCAGCTCTCCTGTGAGTCATTATCAGTTCAACTCACAGGGATACATGTCTTTCGTTTCTAAGTTCCAGGCCAGGGGTGGGGGCTGAGGGCTAGTGGGGAGGGGGTCCTGCGGCACCTGCGGCCTGACCACAGTGCTGTTACTGACTTGCCAGCTACTTTCTTTTCCCTTTTTTATATCTTTATTGTTGAGAGTATTACAGATACCCCCTCCCCCTTAATGTCCCCCAACCAGCAACTTTCTGGCTCCACCTGTCACCCCCTGGCCCACACTAGAGCCCAGGGAGGCTGAGGGGTGAGGGGTCCTCCCTGGGCTTTCTCCTCCTTTCCCCTCTGCCTGTAGGTGGTAAAGGGCCCAGCTCACCCTCCTCTGGGCTCTGAGATTGGCCGAGTTGCTTTCTAATCCCCGTGGGGATCCTCTCCCGTTTTCTTCTTGCCAGGACCCAGCCCCTGCCCAGAGCCCAGATGTACAATGGATGGGTACAGGAGCCCTGCGAGCCGCACAGAAATGGCCCTCTGCTTCACCTCCCAGGAGCGACTCTGCTCTGGGGGACCACCTGGAGTCTCCCTATGAAACAGGAGTGCGTGACTTCCTGGCTGGGCAATCCGGTACTCACTGCCTGGCACTAAGACCCCACCTCGCCTGAAGCCACACTTCCCACATTTCCTGTAGTGTCATCTTTTCACCACCTGCCCTCTCACGACAGTCCCTTTCTATCCTGGCCCTTAGCTCTGTGTCTTTTCTTTTTTTTTTTTCTTCTTTGTGTTATTGCTGTTGTTTTGTTTGTTTCTTATTCGTTAGCTCTGTGTCTTTTCTACCTCATCTGTGACCCATGTTAGCCTGGCTCCTCCTCCCGTTGTATGCCCTGCCCTCACTTCCATTCCCTGGCCTCTAGCAGACACTGGGGAAACGTGAAATGGGTTACAACAGTCCATGCCTGCTCGTGGGGGGAAGGGCGGGCTGCCCTGTCTCATGGCTCTTTCTTCTTCAGATCCTCCTGCTGCCCAGATGCCTGCCCTTCCCCAGGAAGAGGGCTGCCCTGGAGATGGGGCGACAGCCCAGCCTCAGGTGAGCCACAGGACCGGCTGTCCTTCGTGACGTCCCAGTATTGCTGCCTGACAGAGTAGCTGCAGTTCCCCCTCGTCCTGCCTCTGTCCAGTGACCGCACATCCAGAGACCCGCAGACCAGACTCTCCCCCAGAGCCCAGGGCTCTTCTGCTGGGTGATGGTCTTCTCTTTCACCCTGACCATCCATCCTGTTCTCACTCAGAGCAGCCCGTTCCCCTGCCTCTCCCTGACAGCCAGGGTCTGTGGACTGGCTCTAAGGCAGTGGTTCTCAACCTTCTGGCCCTTTAAATACAGTTCCTCATGTGGTGACCCAACCATAAAATTACTTTCGTTGCTACTTCATAACTGTAATGTTGCTATTGTTATGAATCGTAATGTAAATATCTGATATGCAGAATGGTCTTAGGTGACCCCTGTGAAAGGGTCATTCGACCGCCAAAGGGGTCAAGACCCACAGGTTGAGAACCGCTTCTCTAAGGTATCGTTCTGTTTCTCAGGAGGCTCTGACCTTCAAGGACGTGGAGGTGACCTTCTCCCAGGATGAGTGGGCCTGGCTGAACCCTGCTCAGCGAAACCTCTACAGGGATGTGATGCTGGAGAACTATGGGAGCTTGGCTTCTCTCGGTAAGGCACCGCTGTCCCCATGCTCTGCCCACCTTTACTGCTGCCTTCTTAGTCTTCATTATGGCGCATCCGAAGGGGCCTGACCTGGGTGTACGTCCATCTCTGTAACTGCTAACCAGGTCACTGAATCTGTCATCCAGTCTTTCCTCTTGAAAAACAGGATAATAATGCCTGGTATGCTGGGTTACTGTAAAGACGAAGTCATATGTGTCAAGTTCCTAATCCATTTAGGCATCTGCAATAGGTTAGCTGATTGAATTGCTCTGTGGTTCCCACCTCCAGAGAACCCTGGTGATGCTTTTGGCTGGAATTTCTCTCAGCCTCTCTTGTCTCTGCTCAGGGCTGTAGGAGATGGCTGTCTGGGCCTCCTGCCTTAGCTTCCCCCTGGCCTCTCTCTCCTCCCGCCCACAACGCCAGGCGTGCGAGGGTCCTTGAGACTAGTTCTGTGTGACTCAATCCCGTCCCCTCCCCTTCTCCTCTGCAGTGGGGCCACTCGCCAAACCTGCTCTGATATCTTGGTTGGAGGCAAGGGAGCCGTGGGGCCTGAACGTCCAGAGAGCCCAGCCTAAGGCGAAGCCAGGTGCTGCCCCGGCAGGTGAGTCAGAGAACCTACCAGATCCTGCTCCTCCAGCGTCTCTTCTCTTTCTTACCATCTTTCACACCAGGTCAGTCCTGGGGAACTTACTCCATTGTTTGCTAGAAGGAAAATCCTTAGTACTGTTGCTAAGGAGTGCCGGGCCCTGGGCTTCTTCCCTCCAGACTGGCCTATTAGACATTCATTTCTGGCCGTGCCCCTTTCCCAGAAGCCCTTTCAGTATCATTATTGTCCACTGGAGGGTTTCACCGTTCCCTCTCGTTTCCCGTTTATTGATGCTGCACTCCCCCCTCCAGACTGGCCTATTAGACATTCATTTCTGGCCGGGCCCTCTCCCAGAAGCCCTTTCAGTATCATTATTGTCCACCGGAGGGTTTCACCGTTCCTTCTCGTTTCCCGTTCATTGATGCTGCACTCCTGTTGAATCCCCAGTGCCTGCCCCTTCCTGCTCTGAGGAGCCCTCATTCCACTCCTGCTCCTCCTCTCTGCTCCGTCCTCCCCTGTGGTAGGCTTGCTCTCCAGACCTTTTAGCCGGCTCTCCTCCGAGCCCCACCCTCGGCCCTGTCTTGTGCTGTGGGTCCTCTCCCCTCTCTTGCTATTAACACTTGCCTCTCAACCCTTTTCTTTTTTAACTGGATGTGAGTTCTGCACACATCTAGCTCCTGTGCCCATCTTACTTCTCCTCCCTTCCCTGTCACCTGGGTTGCCCTTCCACTTTGCCTTGCTGTGACTATTTTGTAGACGTATTGGCAGTCAGGCACAAGCCACACCACCCAAGTTTGTGGCACCTTTTTGTCCCTTGGTGCTTTTCCAAGTGTGGGGAAAGAGTGCATTCTCTTGTGTTTTATTTTGTGTCAGGAGGCGAGCTCCAGATTAAATCAAGCAAGCTCATCCTAAACCCCAAACCTTTGGAAGACGCACAGGCCTTAGCTGTGTCGTCAGGATGTCGTGTGATGAGCGTTTCTGAGGAAACAGGGCCCAGAGAACCTGTGGAACAGAAGAGCCCGTCACAGGAGGGAAGTGGCAGTCCCACACACGCGAGTGCTAAGAGAAAAGAGGCCAGTTTCAGTCACCGGACAGGAAAGGAACCGGAAGACTCGGGAGGCGGTAGTAGTGTCAGTCTCAGACACGTATATTTTCGAGTTCCCAGAAGAAAAAGGAAGCATGGCTGCGGCCGACACTTCAGAGGGAGCTCATACCACTATGACTACAAGGAGTACGGGAAAGGCCTCAGGCTCATGATCAGTGGGTTCAACCTACATCAGAGAATTCACGCTGGCCTGAAAGCCCCCTCGAAGGATGCGCACGGGAAGGACTTCAGCCTCGGCTCGCATCACCAGCGCAGTCTTCACGTGGTGGGGACTTTCTATAAGTGCGCCGACTGTGGGAGGAACTTCAGCCGTAGCTCCTACCTCGAATACCATCAGAGACTCCACACTCAGGAGAAGCCGTTTAAATGCCGAGTGTGTGGGAGAGCCTTCAGGTGGAGCTCCAACCGCGCGCGACACGAGAGAATTCACACTGGACTGAAACCTTATAAATGCGATTTATGCGGCAAAGCTTTCCAGCGCCTGTACGCCTACCACCTGCACCAGGAGTCCCACGCCAACCAGCTGTATCTCAAAACGAGGCGGTGCCAGGAAGCGCTCGCCTATGGCCCCCCGTTGGATCATCATTTGCAAGACCAAAGCGGGGAGAAGCTCTTTGACTGCAGCCAGTGCAGGAAATCCTTCCACTGTAAATCGTACATCCTCCAGCATCAAAGGATCCACACCCAGGAGAAGCCCTTTAAATGTACCAAATGCAGGAAAACCTTTCGGTGGAGGTCCAACTTCTCTCGGCACCAAAGAATGCACCAGGAAGAAAAGTTCTATAACCCAGACAGGGGCAGCGAAGACTGGAGGGAGGCCCCCGGCTGCAGTCAGCCCCAGAGCGAACCCCCCGCGGAGGAAGCTTTCCCGTGCCCGCAGTGTGGGCAGACTTTTCCCGGGAGGAAAGCGCTCCTTAACCATCAGAGGACCCACACAGGCCAGGAACCATACGGCTGCGGCGAACGTGCGAAGGAGTTGACGCACAGGTCGAAATTGATCGTTCGTAGGAAGCAGCATGCCCTCAACAGAAGCCCCGATGACCGGCCCTCCCTCAGCCAGGACGGAGCGCTCCCGGTCCCTCCGAGCAGCCCGGCCCCGGAGAAGCCCTTCACATGCAGCCAGTGCGGGAAAGGCTTCCAGAACCACTCCTTCCTCCTCATCCACCAGCGGGTTCACACCAGAGAGAAGCCGTATCAGTGCAGGGATTGCGGCAAAGCTTTCCGGTGGAGTTCCAACCTCTCGCGACACCAGAGGAGCCACTTTCTGGGAAAACGGCTGCTCCTGTACCGAGAGAGCGGGGACACTGCAGACGCGCAGCCACAAAGCCTGGAGGACGAGAAGAAAGCTTTCTGGTGCCAAGAATGTGGGAAGAGCTTTACGCGTAAAAGGACCCTCTTAGATCATAAGGGGATCCACAGTGGAGAGAAGCGCTACAAATGTAACCTCTGCGAGAAATCTTACGATCGAAAGTACCGCCTGGTGAATCACCAGAGAACCCACACGAAAGAGAAGCCTTTCAGATGTCAGTGGTGTGGGAAAGACTTCATCGCAAAGCACACCCTCTGCATCCACCAGAGGAAGCACGCCCGCCTGGCGCCGTTGGAAAGCAGCCTGGCCGGCCCGTCTTCCTCTCAGGACAGAGGGGCGGGTTTGCAGGAGTTAAAACGGAGCGGGGAGAAGCCCGTGGAGGGCCGTGAGCAGGGCTCCGGGCCCAGCGGCCCTCAGGACTTACCCGTGGCGAAAAAGTGTCACAAGTGTAGCACGTGTGGGAAAGCGTTCAGCAAGACCTCCCAGCTCATCAGCCACAGGAGATTCCACACTCGCGAGAGGCCCTTCAAGTGCACCAAGTGTGGGAAGACCTTCCGCTGGGCTTCCAACCTGGCTCGGCACATGAAAGGGCACCTTGGTGATTAGCGTGGGGCCTGACGGAGGGAAGAGGCGGTTCCTGGAGGACCTCAGAGGGAGGCGCTTCGGGAAAGTGTTCCCAGAGGGCCCAGCCCTCTTTATTTTGGAAGCTGGTCGCAGAGAATCCCGAGGATTCAAACGCTCAGATGCCCCTCGTTTTACCTGCTGGGGAATGAGATGCTCTTTGGGGACCTTCCGGAGACTCGGGCCCTCAGGAGTGGCCTTTGTGCCATGGCCTGGAGCTCCCCAGCCAGGTCTGCTTCCCTAACTAAAGGGAGATGCAGGCCAGTGCCCTTCTGGGTTGGCGAGGTGGGCCATGGCTGCTGGGAAGGGGCCCGCCAGACCTGAGGTTTTCCTCGGAGTTTGATCTGTTCTGGTTCCTATTCTGTTTGACCTTAAAGCAACAGCAGCTGCAGGAACTCCTCCGAGTCGCCCCATATACCTCTTGGGGAGCTCTGGCTGCGGCTTCAGCCTTCACAACTGGCTTGGATCTCTGCTGTGGGCACCAAGTGGAGGAGAGCAGGTGTGTCGGGTCCCTCACTAGAGCGTGGAGCGCTCCCATCCCATCCCCGTCCCCATCCCCATCCCCATCCCCAGGTGTGCAGCTCTGTCTGTTAAACAGAAATGTGTTGAGCTCCTCCCACGTGCCAGAGACACAGCAGTGACCCGAACAGTGCCGTCTTGGATCTTTACAGATAAACATACGAGATCCATAAACATTTGGGTTGGTGTGTGTGTTGTGGGCAACATGCATCGGAGAAGAGTCAGAGGGCATGCTGGATTGGGAGGTGGGTTGTGGTTTTAAACAGGCTGGTCATGAAGGGCCTCAGCTGAGAAGGTGACATTTGAGCAAAGACCTGAAGGAGTCAGGGAGTAGGCCCTGGCGGTCTCTAGAGCCACGCACAGGAGGTGGGCTCCTGTCTGGTGTCTCAGGGAGTGACAGGGGGCCTCTGGGCTGGAGTGGAGTGAGCCAGTGGAAGAGAGGGGGCCAGAGAGGCGGTAGGCAAGCCACGGGGCATCGGGGGCCTCACTGGGCCTGGACGATATAAAAATATATATATATTTATTGATTTTAGAGAGAGAGGAAGGGAGAGGGAGAGAGAGAGAGATAGAAACATCAATGAGAGAAAAACATCATCGATCGGCTGCCTCCTGCATGCCCCCACCGGGGATTGAGCCGCAACCCAGGCATGTGCCTGACAGGGAATCAGTGACCTCTTGGTGCACGGGTCAACGCTCAACCACAGCCACACCTGCCGAGTGCTTTTGGATGACCTTAGTTTAGAAGTGATGTGGTCTGAATGTGAATTACATTTTACAAGAGTTAACCACAGACCCAAGGACTCAGTAAAATGTCGGAGCTGAACATTTTTTATGTAGTTATCCCTGCTGCCTGTTTCTATGCGTGGACACCCCCCTCCCTACCTGCCCCCGTCAAGTATCTGAATATTCTGAGACCGGCAGCTCTCAGCCGGTGTAAGCAGTTGTGATTGCGGCTCTGACCTCTGCAGGCTGCCGTGTGCCGTCTCCCTTCACCTGCAGTGCCACACCCGTCCATGCTGGCTCAGGACCTCACTCTTCCAGGCCCAGCTTTTCCTGACCCTCGTCCCTTGAAGCCCTCTCCCCTGCTCCGCCTCTCCTGGTCCCTGTTTCGTGCTGTGTTAGGTGTTGTCTGGATTTGCAGAAGTTACGCCTACCACCACAGCCAGACTGAGGCCGGGGCTGAGTGCTTGCTTACCTGTTGGCCACGCAGAGATTTTGCACAAAGTTGCCTCTGTTGAGGAAGATAGAGCTGAATTTAGTTTAGCTGAGTCATGATTGGAGTCTTTTGAAAGGGTCCTTGAGTGAAACGGTGGAGGCCACCCACAAGTGCACTCCTGTAATGAGGAGCCCGGCTCTGTGTGGTTCCGAGCCACAGGCACCAGTGAACAGTTTCCGACGGCCCCAGCCACAGTACTCATCTCGCACCCCCCTCTGGCCTGGAGGGCACACCCCCTTTTACAACCCTGCCCCGCCTTCTCTCACTCCCCAAGAACTGAAGTTGGGGCTGAAGAGAGCCAGGTGGGCGTCAGCAGGTCTTTCAGTCAGCTGTCCGGTGTTGGCCCAGCCTTGCTGACCGAGACCGTCAGCCCGCAGAGTCGTGTACAGAGAAGAAAGCACGGGAAATGTGAATGAATACGGACCATCTCACACTTAGCACGCTGGCAAATTGTTAATGTGGGTGTGTGGGCCCTGGGCACTCTGCTGTGGGAGTGGAGACTGATGACGGTTGTGCAAAGCGGTTTGCAAAGTCTTGTAAAGTTGTGTGTACTCGGTCACCTAGTAAATCTGCTCCTGGATAAACCACAGAACAGCAGTTGGGACACAGGAGATGCGTGTGAGCCTGCATTGCAATACTGTTCGTTGCAGTTAGCAAGATGGTTGAGATAGCGAGATTGGGAAAAGCCTACATTCCCATCAGCAGAAGAACAGAGAAGTCAGTGGGTTGTTTTGGAACTTTGGGAAGCGAGTGTGAAAGAGCTGTAGTTGCATCTTTCATGGATAAATAAAACGACGCTGAGAAACTGGTGAAGGTACAGACAAGTACCGTTTCTGTAAAGTTCAACACTGTATCTGTGAGTCTGTTCCTTAAACGTCTTTGTGTTTCACTTTTTCTGTAAAATGAAATATTTGTGCCAACCTCACAGGGTGACTGGGGTTGGGGCTGGTTAATGAAATGATGTAAGTAAAGTGGTTAGAACAGTGGCTGCCGTGTGAGCACTGTTGGCATATAGTAAACCATGTTGTTACTGTTTTGCACTATATATTTCAGTGGTTCTCAACCTTCTGGCTCTTTAAATACAGTTCCTCATGTGGTGACCCAACCATAAAATTATTTTCGTTGCTACTTCATGACTGTAATGTTGCTACTGTTATGAATCGTAATGTAAATATCTGATATGCAGGATGGTCTTAGGCGACCCCTGTGAAAGGGTCGTTCGACCGCCAAAGGGGTCGCGACCCACAGGTTGAGAACCGCTGATATATTTCCTGTGGATGCAAATTATATGAAACCAGAGTATGAAATCATGTATTGGAACGATGTGTGAAAGTCCTGCTCTGCCCTCCCAGGGCAGGGGTTGCTGATGAAATTGGAGGCTTCACTTGTATTTCCTTTTTAAAATTACTGTCGATGTGGTCAGCATGTGGATTTAGTAGCATAGTGCGGTGGGTGCTTTTTTAACTGTCTGCTTAAAATCCTTAAAAATAAAAAGTTTTTACGCCTGGGCTCTGACATTTTCTGATTCACAGAGATCCTGGCTCTGCTTCACGGGGTATTAGAATGCATCACTAATCGCTCCAGGTTCCAGGTTCCTCACCTGCAGCATCGGGAGCAACACAGATGGCCCCGAGGAAAGGAGTGGTTAACAGCCCTGCTCCTCGGGGTGGACACCCAGCAACAGCTACAGGGGAGGATGTTCGCCACGCGTGGACACGTGATCCCCAAGACGTGTGGTTTACAGGAAATCATAGGCTCAGTTTCCTTTAGCTCCTCCTTGCCCAGTAATCAGTCAAGTCAGAAGCTGTAGACTCAAGTTCAAGGATGAAATGGGATCTGTGGACGGAGGCGCTTAGTCATTTATCCCACTTTTTAGGTAGGTGAGGAGGAGGAGGGTCATGAACGCTCACATACCAGCCACCACAGCCTTTAAGTTCATGCCAACCCTGCCAAGAGGAGGAAAGGCTTTGCATCGATCAGGTTCTAGTCAGGGGCCAGAAACCATGCCAATTTTTTTTAATAAATATATATTATTGATTTTTTACAGAGAAGAAGGGAGAGGGATAGAGAGTTAGAAACATCGATGAGAGAGATCGATCAGCTGCCTCCTGCATACCTCCTGGGGATGTGCCCGCAACCAAGGTACATGCCCTTGACCGCAATCGAACCTGGGAACCTGGGACCCTTGAGTCTGCAGGCCCACGCTCTATCCACTGAGCCAAACGGGTTAGGGCTGTCTTTTCGTTTTGTTCAAGCCTTTAGCTGATTGGCTGAGGCCCACCCACATTATGGAGAATGATCTGCCCTATCATAGTCCACCAATTTAAATGTTAATCTCATCCCAAAACACCCTCACAGAAAAACCCAGAATAACGTTTGGTCAAATAGCTGGGCACCCCATGCGTCAGGACATGCAGAGCCAGAGAAAGGCCCTGAGACCGAAAATCTAAAGAGGCAAGGCCCTCCAGAGTAACAACTGGTAAAGGTTTGTTATTAAGGGAAACGGATTTGCAGCATTTCTTGGGCAGTTGCAAGATGAAAGGAGTCCCCGCACTGCTCAGTTGGCGCCAGAGAACGATATGGAGCAAAAATAAGGGGGCTAGAGGGGGTGGCAGCAGGGAATAGTCACATAAACGGATATGTGACTGTTTCCAGGTGCAGGAAACTGCCTTACATGCTTGACCAGGTCAGGACAACCGAAATGTTTTCTAGACGCAGCGCATTCCAGGAGGCAGGGGAGGTGCTGGTTAATGTCAGGCAGACATGATCTCCATCAGGCAGTCTCTGGGGGCGGGGAGGGGGCTGGGATGCAAACAAACCTCTTGATGGCCCAGGTCCAGCAGCTCTCAGTCTCTCCTCTGTACCCTGGCCAGGAAAGTGACACACAAAATTGATCATCCCACCCCTCCAGCACTGCCGCCTCCTTAAATTCCCTGGCGGCCAGGGAACCAGCTGGCAAGGCAGAGGTGTGGATTGGGGGTTCCCACCCCTAGGCATCTGTAGAAGGCTGGATGTGAAACAGATCAGTTAATAAACTGGTACCACTTTTCTGAATCATTTTATTTAAAAAATTCCTAGGATATTTGACTTAAAACTTTGAGACCAATAATATGTATTCAGGGAATTATGTGTGTTAAATTGTGGACAACTGGTCACTTAAAGGTGTAAGTTATGCCAGAAGCAGTTGATTTTACCCATTGACCTGGTAATAAATAGCTGTTGAACGTGACTTTATTTTGCTGCAATGAACTCAGACTTAAAAGCCCCAAGAAGAGTCTGAGAATTATCTAAGACTCCAGTAGCCACTTGGGAAAATATTCTGGCAGTCCTCCAACTGTTAAGCAGAGTTACCATATGAGCCAACAAATCTCATATAAATGTCTTGTGGCGCCCTAACTGGTTTGGCTCAGTGGATAGAGGGGTCCCAGGCCTGTGGACTGAGGGGTCCCAGGTTCGATTCCGGTCAAGGGCATGTACCTTGGTTTCGGGCACATCCCCAGTAGGGAGTGTGCAGGAGGCAGCTGAATTGATGTTTCTCTCTCATCAATGTTTCTAACTCTCTATCCCTCTCCCTTTCTCTCTGTAAAAAATCAATAAAATATATTTTTTAAAAATGTCTCGTGGCCCTTTAAAACTTACAGAACATAAATATTGGAAACAATACAAAGAATGGAATTTTGGAAAACCCGGTTCACCCTGGCCATGTTGAGCCGAGGGCATTTCCCACACTCTGGCATCTTACGTGGCTAACCCCCATGTTTGGAGCCGGTGCTACTTCCTACAGTGGGCAGAATCTAGGCTGGGATAGGCTGGGAAGCGCTTGACACAATAAAGACCAGGTTGCTAGGAGCCCCCAGTCTTCTAAGGCTCCCCCTCCTCTCTGAAGCTCCCTCCAATGAATCCTCCACTCCAGACCTTTCAGACAGGTGAGCTTCAAACTCCTCATACCTTTCCAGTCCCCCAAGTCTTGGCCATCTGTTGAGCCCACTGTGCCCTTGCTATCAGCCACCCGGTTCTGGGCATCCTAGAAGGAGATGCTGACTTGCCCATGGCCTTGGGGACCAGCAGGAGATAGTGGGCAGACCCTCTCTGCCTGGGGCAAATTGGAGCTTCTCGTGGGATGCAGGTGTCAGGACCTTGAAGATGGGTTGACCTAGTTGATCATCTAGGTAGTGTGCCTTGACATTTCTCAGGGGGGACAGTCACTGTTCTGAAGAAGGTGAAGTACCAAGCATGACAGAAAGTAGGACGAGTCCCCCAGACCTGCCATTCGGCCCACACCAAGGTGGGCTTCCCTGAGGTCAGGAAGCTGCAGCTTTGCAGCCCTGTCTGGCACTGGTCCTGGGCAAGTGCACAGGGGCAAGTAAGGGTGAGTTTCCTGTTGCTGCTGTGACTCAGGACCACAAACATAGCTGCTTGGAACAAGAGCCACTTATCTCCCAGAGTTGTCGGTCCTGAGTCCCTCGAGTGAGGCGTGGGACTCTGCTCAAGGGTGAGTTTCCTGTTGCTGCTGTGACTCAGGACCACGAACGTAGCTGCTTGGAACAAGAGCCACTGATTCTCCCAGAGTTGTCGGTCCCTCGAGTGAGGCGTGGGACTTTGCTCGGGGTCTCACACATCAAACTAGCATTCTGTCTGCCCTGAGCTCTCATCTGAAGACTCTGGGGGAAAACCCAGTCCCAGCCAGGCTCATTGGTTTTGTTGACAGAATTTTCCTTCTCATGGCTTGCACTTGGCCTCTGGCATCATCGAGCCAGCAATGGCAGGCGAGGCCTCCTCACGCTTAGAATCCCTCTCACTCCTTGGGCTGTGTCCCTCCGACCCCAGCCAGAGAAAGCTCTCTGTTTCCCAGGGCTCAGGTGGTTAGATTGGGGCACCTGGATAATACAGAGTATGTCCCTCGTGTAAGATCTGTGGTTTTAATTATATCTGCAAAGTCCCTTTGTCATGTAATGAAACACTATTACAAGGTTCCAAGGATTAGGGCACAGCCACTTTTGGGGGACCATTCTGCTGACCACACATGATTATGTTTTTGTAAAATTTATGAGTGATATTTTTTTTTTGTAAGAAGATCCAGCATTCTCCATTCTCCTCTTAATCTAAGAAAGGTGTTGTTTTTTTTTCCAGCTATAGTTTGTAATCATTGTCACTTCCTTTACAAAATGAGTTTAAGGAGTGGCGACCAGCGTTTTCCTAAGGGATATAGCCGAATTGCATTGTATGGAAAATCGCATAGGGAATGTTGCACATAATCATTTATGTTCCATGAAATTGCTAGTACACACACACACACACACACATACATCTGAACTAGGTCCAGATGTACAGTATACGTCTTAAGTGTACTTGGTTAAGATTTAAAAAGACATTAAGACCCTAGAAATCGTCTGGAGCCTCCAGTTAGGCGTGTACCTGGTTCTGGGAAGTTTCTGGAGCCTCTGGGAGGGTCTCCCTGGCAGGCCGAGCACAGGTGGCTCACAGAGCCCAGGGGAGGCTCCCTGCCCTGGGTTGTGTGGGTGGCGCCCTCCTCCCCACCGGGGACCACTGAAGGCGCACCTGTGTTGTCCCTTCCCCCTGTAGCTATGTCCACGAGTCACTTTGAACAGAGGAAGAAACCTCTCGATACGTTCTTCTGGGTAAACGAGATAACCGGAGAAGTCACCTACCCGCCGCTGAAGGCGGATGTGCCTGCAGCTCCTCTGGAGAAGCCCCAGGAGACGCCCGAGTGCCAGCGAGGGAGCGCGCAGGGGGCTCCTCCCGGCGCCCAGGGCCGGGCCAGCTCGCCTGCGTGGAAGGCGGACTCTCCACCCCCTCCTATGGCTTCACTCAGATACCGAGGCTCTAGGTACACCCTCCCATCTACACTGACCCACCAACTGGTAAAGGCTGGAGCCAGGAGCCCCTCGCGGTTCTCAGCGACTCCTCTCTTACCACCAGGCGGCGCTCCGCCACTATTCCACCCCCTGGGGCCAGCCCCTCCTCCACCAGCCCCTACCTTTCCTTCCTGCCCTTCTGTCCTCTGGGCCTACACCTGCAAGCTGAAGAATGTCCTCACTGGGAATAACCGATTTTCCTTTTGAACTTGAGAGTGTTTGCCTGGCCACGCCCCTTAAGAGCCATCCGTGGCCAGAGCAGCCTGCCACCTACCTACACCCCTGCATGTCCTGGGAGGACCCCTGGCTTCCCCTAGAGGCAGGCACACAGGACTCTGCCAAATTCTTATGCGAATGTGCCAAATGCTTTCAAACTCCATATAAATTGAACTGCGATTTTGACACACAACGTTTTCTAGCCTTTCTTTACCTCCCAAGCCAATCTGGTGTTTTACTCTCAACTCTTTGGGTTCAATAATTCGATTCTGATGTTGGCGTCACAGCAATATGTTTAGTTCCCAGCTGGAGCCAGAAGGAGGCCTCCTTGGCTGAGATCGGAATAGGCCCAAGCCCAGGCTGTTGTTCCCTGTGCTTCTGACGCCCCAGCAACAGGTCAGAGGTCCCCAGGCCGCCTCCTCGGGTTCGATTCATTTGCTAGAACAGCTCACAGAACTCAGACACCTTTTACTTAGATCTCTGGTTTGTATAAAAGGATGTGACTCCGGCAGGAGCAGCCAGGTGGAGCAAGTGCACAGGGGCAGGTAAGGAGGGAGGGCTCGGGCAACTGTTGGGGTCCAGCCCCAGCAGGTCCAGGGGTTCCCAAAGGTGTGGACGGAGTTGGCGAAGAAGGAATGACAGGGGGACAGCATTCAGTTGATCAGCATAGCGAGGTTCTCCTTCTCTTGTCCTGTTATATCTATATTTATACTAGTTGATCCTATAAGCATGCCTCTATAATTACATCATGGTATGTTTTGGGTAACGTTCTACAGTTCCTTGTTTCATTTCCATAGTTCCTTATCTAACCTTTACCAAAAATCCTGTCTCTATCTAGTTCTGTTGATTTTAATCTTGTCTAGGTTAATCTCTGTGTTCCATTATAAGGGCTATTCCAAGGTCGCTGCTCTACTGATAAGCTACAAGGAAGTGACTGAAGGAGATTATCCTACCCAGTAAAGGTTATGTCCTCCCAGCCTCGCTGCTTGCCTTCCTGGGACTGCCCTGTGTCGGTGGGTCTCCAGGGCTTCGGTGCTTTCCCTGGTGGGCAGACCCCTGGGGATGTGGGCCCAACAAGTCCCAAATTTATTGCCAACAGTCTTAGTCCAAGTTCTTCATAAGTCCTTTCTCAGGGAGGTGGCCCTGGCTAGAACACATAGTGCTAAGAAGGGGAGCAAACATATTAAGAACAGTATGCCAGGTCCCTTGAAATATAAGCTGTGCAGATGTTTCTTCCCTGCAGCGACTGTGTCAAGCAGCAAGGGTGGACTGGCTTCCGGCAGGCAACCGTGTGAGCACTCCACTAGCACCACCCCATTCACCAACCGGAAGCTGTTTTGGGTTCTTATGGGGGTTCATGAGATCATTGACCATTGGCAATTGTTTCAACCTCCAGCCCTTCTCTTGTCCCCCGGGGTCTGGGATGGGACTGGGTGTTCCAACCCTCTAATCACATGGTTGGGTCCTCTGTCAACCAGCCCCCATTCTTAGGTGTTGGGGGGGGGGTCCCAAAAGTCACCTCACTAACATGAAGGAAAATACCTTGTAGGCTCCCATTACCTAGGAAATCCCAAGGATTTTAGGAGGTCTACATGGTACTCTGGGGCCGGGAGGAAGCCCCCCAAGGAAGAAAAGGCTTGGAAGGGGGTCCCCTCTCCAGTCCTCATTGGAAAAGGCGTGGCTGTGGCCCTGGATGGCAGTGAAGTTGGCTGGGTTGCCCGAGGCCTGGCTCTCTAGTCACTGGGTAAGCAGGAAGCAACCCTCTGGGGTACCAACCGGGTACAGGCAAGCCAGCCGATGGACAAGCAGAGGTGAGGGTGTCAATGTGAACAGAAGGCCCAAGCGCGCAGTGTGTGTTGAGGGCATGCGCTCTGAGCCCACAGCTGGGGCAGGTTTCCACCGAGGCTATCACCCCATGCCTCTGACCAACAGAGCAGCTTGCCTCTAGCGCCCTCTACTGAGAAAGCATACCATCTCGCTCACTCTAGGATCGGTTCATGGGTCAGAGCCCTCTGAGGGGTGGGGGTGGAGCTCAGGTCTCCCTGGAGCCTCTTTCTGACCTGAGGCTTTGTAGTGAGAGGGTCGGATCCTGTGCAGGTCCTCAGAGCTGGGACAGAATTTTCTCTTCCTTACACTGGGAGGAAATCAAACAGGCATGCACAGGCCGTCAATTTCTTCTACTTTCCTATTATGTTGAAATAGTTGTAAAACTATTAGTAACTGAATAAAAAGAGAAAACAATGGTCTGATTAATATATATTTATTATGTAACAATTAGTTTCAAGACAAAGTCCAATTCAAAACATATTACTGATTTTACAAAAGGTATTTAATCCAAACCCATTTTTCCAATAAATTTTCTTATGTAACCTCCTGTTGTCTGGCTCTGGAAACAACATTTGCTACATTAGAAAAAAATGTAAGTACAGCTCTTAGGCACAGGTTAAAAGGGATGACACACACACCCTGGAATAATTACAAATCAGTATTTCTTTCGAATACACATTTGAATTTTAAGTTTAAATAACCAATGTTTTAGATTAATTTAAAACATACTTCAAGAATGGTTTTAAATACCTTTCCCTTGTAATGCACTGTGGGGAAAAATTTCTCTCATTTCTTCTGCAGTAAGAGCTACAAAAATGGTGTCCCAAATAGGATTCACTTTGTCCTCTTGAGAAACAATGAAGAGGTTTTGGAACTGGTTAAAAATATCCTAAGAGAAGTATCTGCAGAGAGAGAAGCCCTGTGTCTAGAGTGGCCACACCATGCCCCTTGGGGTGGGGCTGGTTGTCCCCACAGCTGTGGACCAGGGGTGGCTTGGAGGCCTGAACCAGCATTCCACACACTGGAGGGAACAGGAAGACCCAGGTTGCAAGGGGTGACAGAATCCTGCCTGACTGGGACCACGTTACACTTGACCCTACCTGCTGGGAATCTTTGGGAAACAAGAATTTTTCTGGGTAGTGTTTTCCATGGCCATAAATGAGTCACCTCATTAAATGAATCAGAAAAATTCACTGTCTGTTGGCTTCATGCTACAATTACACTATTTCAATGGGAAGGAAAACTTACAGGTTTAAAACTAAATTCTCTGTCACTGAAGATGTTCAATACCATATATTCATTCAATGGCTTTCCCCTTCCATTCTTTCTGTTTGGCAAAGTTTCATTATCTAGCTTTTGCTACCCATCAATCTTGTGTTTTGGACATCAACAGTCCACACTGGTTGCAAAATACATGTGTGTACTGATACATGGGATGTGACTGTGAAGATGCATGTTGAATTGGGTTACGTATTTACCCACATTCACTCATATAAAAATATGTATCTTTAACACCTACATACCACAAATATGTTCTTTCATGGCAACAGCTTTTTATCTAGTCTTGCCAATCAGATAAGAAACACCATAAGATGGGGAGTGAAAACTTTTTTACAAACAAGTTTCCCAGCAGAAATTAATTTTAAAAAATAAATCTACTTTCAAAGCAGCAATCAGAAACTTTGTTCTTGTAATAAGTAAATAATACTGTTATAGCAAATTGTGGACTTGTTTAATTTAACAGTTCCGTTCTTAGTTCTTTAAAAAATACAGATTTGTGTCACTTAATGGCTTCTCCATTTTTCCAATTCCAAGGAATACAGAGGTCTCCGTCTTGCATAACGGAGTAAAAATGTGAAACGCAGAGGTGCATCCCTTGTAGGTAAGGCAGCGACTGCCCCAGAAGTCTCTTACAGCAATCCACCATCTGCTTACTAGAAACGCTGGGCTCCTTATAGAACTTTTCCAGGGAAAATTTCTTTGTTGAAGCCTGTATCAATTCATCTTCAATAACCTTTAACCTGTTATATAAAAAATAAAAATCATTGCCACAAGCAAATAAAAGAACATAAACTATAAATACATTTTTAGATACGGGGCTATACCTTTCTGCTCACAACACTGAAAATGGTGTCCACCAAAGCCAAATTATATGCTTAGAACATACACCAGTGGTTGTCATGCAGTACCTGTTATTTCCACACGTATCTCTAAAAGTACTTGTGAAACCTTTGCAGCAGGAATGGGGTAAAAGTAATACATACTTTAGGAAGCTCTTATCCTGCCTCACCCAGAACTAGTTGCAACTGAAGGAAGCAGAAAGCTGAGCGTGTAGACACCTGGGTTTGACCCTTGGATGGTAAGCAATGACTTCTAAAGATTCCCAAATAAAAAAGCAGACTCAGGGCGGTGAGGGCCTGGGGCGGGGGCGGGCTGGAGGGGGTCAAAGGGGGAAAACAGAGGATGTATGTAATAGTTTCAACAATAAAGAATTAAAAAAAAAAAAAGCAAGCTCATAACAATGGCAGGCACCCGAGGCCATGCCCTCTTCACTCTCACTCTTCTAGGCCAGCACTCCCTCCCCTTTGCCTGAGGCCACAAAGTGTCTTCCATCAAGGGCTTGAGTTAAGATCTAGAAAGTAAACAACTCAAGGCAGAAAGATGTCTTCAATCCTTCCTCCCACAGGTGGCAAGGGTTTAGGGATGGGATGTAGTAAGAGATTCAATCCCCAAATCGCCATGGCTTCCAGGGTGAACACCACTTGGGAAGCCCATAGAGGAGATGAGGAAAGCCACAGTGCTGTGGCCAGGTCCTGAGCTAGTCTAAGTCAAGCACTGTGCTAGTTCCAAACACTAACTATCCTCTTCTCCCCAAGCTTCAACTGCACAAGAGAAGAGCGAGGACGGTAAAGCACCCGTAAACTAGGAGAGTCTTGGAAACAAAAGTGGTTGCTGTAGTTGGTCTGCAGTTTGTGGTCTGTCCTGACTGAATCCCTTTTTGCAACAACATCCAGGTCCCTTCCACGTGCTGTATGTTTTCTCTGTGAGGTTCCTCCTCCTGACCAGGCTGCTTAGAGAGGCAAGAAGTGGGCAGGGTTAGGGTTGAGAATTCCCACTCGGCGCAGGATTGGAAGGAGGAACTCTCAGGTACCATCGATAGCACGGGATGACAAACTTCTTCTGTAAAGGGCTTTTCTCACTTGCTCTAAAAAAGACACTCGAACAGCCTGGCTTGGAAGAGAAAAGCCGTGCAGTATGGCCAAGTCGCTGTGAGTTTCAACAACTCACCCTGCACCCATCCAGGTAGGCCCTGCATTCCCACTGCTTCCACGAGAAGCCTCTGGTCCCATCCCAGAGTCGCCCTGATCCTGGGGCCACGCCTCTGTGATCAGGAGGGCCTGTCAGTCTCGAGGGTACAGTCTTGGAGGGGCATCGAGCCCAAGAGGGCAGCCCTTGCTGAGGTTCTCTAGGGCTGTGCTGGTGGCTCTACTGCCTGTAGCAGATTAACTTAAAAATATTTTAAAAAATTGTTTTTTGCCTCTCCTTGTAATTTCTTTGCTTGATTATACTCAGACCTAAAGGGGGGCACAGTATGAACAGGGAAGCACCAGGACATGGTGGGTGTGGCTGGTGGGATGTTCTCTTTCTTTTCTTCTAACACTAAGAAATGGGCCCTTGCCGAACCGGTTTGGCTCAGTGGATAGAGCGTCGGCCTGCGGACTGAGGGGTCCCGGGTTCGATTCCGGTCAAGGGCATGTACCTTGGTTGCGGGCACATCCCCAGTAGGGGGCGTGCAGGAGGCAGCTGATCAATCTCTCTCATCAATGTTTCTAACTTTCTATCCCTCTCCCTTCTTCTCTGTAAAAAAATCAATAAAATATATTAGAAAAAAAAATCAATGGAAAAATGACAAGAAGAAAAAAGAAATGGGCCCAATATTTCCCAGGGGAATGACCCTTCTCTCTGACAAAAATTATGTCAATTTTTTTTTTTAACACAAAGTTTAACCTTTCTGCCTCTGACATCTGAATGTGAGTGCCACAGGTGTGTCTGTCCATTTTCACCGTACCCTGCTAGGGACTTTCACAGCGCCTGCTGGGCACCAAGGTCCTCGACAAACATTTAGTTCAATAAATGAACATTCTTTTAAATGGTGGTTTCTACTATATGCAAGTATAAAAATTATTTAACCATTCTTTTATTGTTGTACATTTCTATTATGATGGTAATGTAATCTAGGTTATTAGAAAACAGTCACAGCCAATCCCTGGCAGAACAAGATAGGAAGAAATAAATATGGAACGTCCTCCAATCAGTCAATTCCTAAGTTAAGTGCAGTGTGAATGTCCCACTCTTCTGTTCAGAATACCTGAATTTTTAAGTTAGACTGAGCAATAAGACCTTACAGGGGCTGACAACACTCACTCGTCTTTTCTCTTCATGTTCTCTCTCGCCTGCTGGGCTCTGGTGAGAATGAACCACTTCAGGTTGGCTGGGTCGCAGAGCGTGGGGATGTTAAAATGCCCGAGTTCATGCAAACTTGGAGCGTATCTGTCACTGTAATGACACACATGAAAGCAAAACCATTGATCCCCTCCATCCCCCACTGCACCCTAAAGAAAACATTCTAGGAGTCTGATTAACAGAAAAGGAATTCATCAAGGAAATCTACCCTGAAAGTACATATATCCCAACTGACTTCAAGTTCTGCTGTGCCCAAAGAGGCTCACTATCAGGATGACCACACACTTCCTGACCCTGGGACTTTCCCCATCTGTAAAATGGGGAGAGTAACCATTTCATGGTGAAGAGATAATGCATTTAAGCTCCAAGCACAGTGCATGGAAAACAGTATATGTAGTATATGCACAAGAAATGTTGGCTACTGACTTAACATTAGTTCAATCCTGCAAGTTTTCCGCAGGACTGACTGCACCGTCAGTGGCGCTGTAGTTACAGAGCGTGCAGAGGTTCAGCCCTTCAGTTCTCTCACGCTAGCTTTCTCATGTGTAGTGTTGCTAATCGATGCAGAACCACATACTGAGATACAAAACAATCTGTGTGAATAAGAAGGGTCGTTCTTGTTTGAGGTATTTACCTGTTGAGAATCATCTGTAAGCCACGCAGACTTTGCGGGTGGAAAGGAACTCTGTTTTTCAACAGCCTCTTATAGAACACGTCGAGAAGAGAGTAATACTCATCCAGCGTCAGCACTGGCTGGAGCTCTTCGATATAAACCACCTGGATGTCCCCCAGAAGGTGGCTTATTTGGTTTTCTAGGAGCATTAGCCTCCTCTGAAGGTCAAAGTAACTTGGCAACCTTTCAAAAAGCTGCAGGATTTTTAAAAAAGGAAAGAAATAGTCCTAAGTACTAATAGATATTTAGGTAAGAATCTCGACTTAGTTTAGAATGATTAAATGGTAAAGAAGGGTTTTAGAAATAAAGTATGTGTACGCATTTGAAGTCTAACAGAATTTACTTAATTCACCTACATTAAATTAAATGCAATAAACACTACCCTCCCATGTACTTAAGCACTACACTGGGCCCCTGGAGTGAACGGATTACAAGAATTTGTCCCTCTTGGCCAGGGCCCACAGTCAGGGTGCAGAAGCAGAGGCTGAAGAGCTGGGCGGGGCCAGGTCAGGTGAGCTACATTAAGGAGTTAGGTAATTGTGATTCATAGATCATTCACCCAGTTTCCCCAATGGCAACATCTTGGAGAGCTATCCTGGTTGTGTACTGTCACAACCAGGATACTGAGATTCACCCAATCCACCAACCTGATGAGATTTCATCAGTTTTACTCACACTCACTGTGGGTGTGTATTTAACTGTGTGCGATTTTATCACATGTGTAGATTCATATGACACAACCATGGTCAAGAGTCCTGCACAAGGACCCTCTGTTCCCCTCCTCTGCCTTGGTGATCACTAGCCTGTTCTTTCTGTAACTTTATTACTTTAGAAATGTTGCAGAAGTGGGATCATACAGTCTGCAATCTTCTGAGGTGGACTTTTCTCACCAGCACAACGCCCTTGAGACCCACCACGCTGCTGCAGGCGTGGGCAGCTCATTCCTCCTCCTTGCTGAGTGGTGCTCCGTTGCACAGACGTGCCACCCTTTGTTTAACCACTCAGACACTGAAGGGCATTAGGGTTTGTTTTTCTAGTTTTGGGCTATTATGAACATTTGTGTATAGGTTTCTGTGGGAACATACTTTTTCATTTCTCTAGCATAAATGCCCAAGAGTGCCACTGCTGGACCACATGCTGAATGCTTAAGGAACTTCCCTACTCTTTTCCAGAAGGCCTGCACCATTTTACAGCAAAGAATGAGTGATCAGTTTTCTGCATCTTCGCCAGCACTTGATGGTGCCATTATTTTTCACATCGAGAAGAGAGTAATACTCGTCCAGCGCCAGCACTGGTGCGAGTTCTTTGACATAAACAACCTGGATATCTATTATGATAGGTGTGTAGTGATATCTCATTGTAGTTTTAATTTGAGTTTTGCTAGGGCAAATCACGTGGAACATCTTTGTATGTGATTATTTGTCATCTGTATATGCCAGTGATAGCGAACCTTTTGAGCTCGGCGTGTCAGCATTTTGAAAAACCCTAATTTAACTCTGGTGTCGTGTCACATATAGAAATTTTTTGATATTTGCAACCATAGTAAAACAAAGATTTATATTTTGATATTTATTTTATATATTTAAATGCCATTTAACAAAGAAAAATCAACCAAAAAAATGAGTGTCATAGGTTCGCCATCACTGGTATATGCGCTTCTGTGACATGTCTGTTCATGTCTTTTGCCCATTATCTAGTTGGATTATTTGTATTTTTTACTGTTAGGTTTGAGAGTTCTTTATATATTTAGATATAAAGACTGTTAGATATGTGGTTTGCAAATACTTTCTACCAAATATTAACTTAAACCAATATGTCACCAACGAAGATATGTGGATGGCAAATAAACACATGAAAAAGATGCCAAATGCAAATTAAATCCACAACGAGCTAGTACTGCACACTTATTAGAAAACCACAGCAAGTCTTAAAAAGTTAAAATGCCCTAACATATTCAGCTATCCACTTTTAGGGTGCTGGGATGGAGGAGAGTGTTGACAAAGGGACATATTTTTGTGGGTGACAACTATGTTCACTATCTTGAATGTGGTATTCACATATATCAAATCTCAGATTATACACACTAAATATACAGTTTATGTCAATTATGCCAGAAATGTGTTGAAGTTAAAACAAAACAACAGAATACAGGCCTTTAGGCAATACTTCAGAAAAGAATAAAATTTCTAAATAAAAGCTGAATTAAAAATCAGTCTTCTAAATATTTTAAACTACATGATATTAAACATCTGATCTGAAAAGAGCTGTAACTACAATTAAAGTTTTTTAAAGTTTATTGACATAATAGCATAGTTTGAAACAAAATTATGTTGATGCTAAATCAGAGATTTTTTTTGCATTTCAGCTTTTTCTTACCTTTGTCCAGTGATGATGGACATCCATTGTTCCCAGCATCACGTGGCCCACTGCACTGATCCCAGAACGGTCTGTAAATATTACTGTACATCCTGATGATAAAACAAACCCTCTGGTCACTGTACAGAGATGCTTCATCCTTTCAGCACTGTGCAAATAATTACTTAAATTTAGTGTATAAATTCAGGGTTAAATGCAGAAATGTAAAGGCTAATTTTATGTCTCTGATTTATTCAAAAGAACAGATTTGAAAATTCAGCTATGATAAGTCACATCTGCAAAGATTTTCAACACTTTTCTTCTACACTTTACAGATGTGTATAGCAGTAATATTTTAAAACAACATGGAAATTGTTTACCTTTTGCATTTTTAAGTGTTTCCAAGTTCTGCTGTGCTAAGCGGCCTAAACTATGCAGCTGGCTACAGCGATGGGCGAGGCCCCAGCTCCGCTGCCACCTGGTCCAACAGAGAGCACAGGCACATTAACACAGGCACCCCTGGAGGAGGAGGCATGCATTCACCCCAATGCTCAAGTGTGCACCCAACATGTTTCTAAACTAGCTCATTTTTCAAGAAGCAACCAAGTAGAAAATGAATTGTTGACCAGAGGGTAAAAACATTACTACTAATGTTCAGGTATCCAAAGATTTAAAACGAGCAAAGACACTATGTTATTTCTATTTTAAAATTAGAGGATGAAATAACCCGCCTCTGAATTCTAATTCTGGGATTTACTACCTCTGGGACCTTGAACAAACTGCTTCTGGCCTTTCTAAAGTTTCTCTTTCACACACGCACAGTGCGGGCCTTTCCTACTGCCTGGCAGTCTAAATCAAAGGAGATATGAAAAGCTACGGGAAATCATAGGTTCCTCCTTCATCTATCTGAACACTGATTCTCATGAATGCCATTTCTGATACAATGAAATTGGCTTAAAAATTGTTCCCTTTAACCCACAATTGAAAAACTGAGATATAATTTTAAAGAATTAATTATGATCAAGCAACTAAATGCTGTTCTTTATTAATAAATAAACAGTCTTTTATAAGCTGTTTAGAATCAGTCACAATATCACCAGTCACCATGTCTCCATTTGTTGAAGCAGTCATGGCCATGCCCCCTGGACCCGGTTGCACTCTCAAACACCGAGAGCCCCAGAGACCCTTTGTTTACATGGGTTACAGCTACTGACATTTACTATAGTAAGAACTAAAGCTGAGGGATTTCTCCACAATATTGTAAAATCAAGCTTATTTCCTTTCTTACTAATGTGTCTGCTTTGACAGATCTTTTAAAGCTTATACTAGAAAAAGTTATTTTCATGTACAAAGAACCAAGACAGCATCCATTTTCTCTCTTTTCCTTTTTAAACTCGATGAAGGAATGATTATTCTTTATATGTGTATATGAAAAGGATATTTTTCTTATAAACTATGTAAAAGTTCAATTAGCTACAAATATGTCATTATCTAAACCTTATCTCACTATGTATGATTGATTTAGAGAGAGGAACATCAATCGTTTGCCTCCTGCAACCTCAGTATGTGCCCTGACCCGGAATCGAATCTGCCACCATTTGGTGTTTAGGATGATGCTCCAAACAACTGAGCTACTCAGTTAGGGCCTTATTTCACTATTTTAAACAAGAAATTATCGTTTTCTTAAGCAAATGAACACTTGATTACTTTCATAAAAAGATAATTGAAGAATATTTAGTTATCCAAATAATTAAAGTAAAAGATGCAAATACAGTGGGGCCTTGACTTACGAGTGTCCCGACTAACGAGTTTTTTTGAGATACGAGCCGTCTCTCGGCCAATTTTTTGCTTTGAGTTGCAAGCTCAAAAAAATTTGGGTTACGAGCCAGCTTCAGATACCCCACCGCTAGTTGGCGCAGCGAATGTCACAGTGATTTGACATACAAGTAATTTGAGTTATGAGCTCAGTCACGGAACGAATTAAACTCGTAAGTCAAGACCCCACTGTATTTAACTGCTGAAAAACTTTACCAACTGGTAATTCATGTTTATTCTAATCTCCAGATTAGGTTCTCTTCATTACCTGATATCTGAGAGCTGCAACTGATGAGATAGTTCATCTTTTAAACGATCTAGTTCTTTTCTAAGTGGCAAACTATTCTCCAGTTTTTTAATAGCACGTTTCCCATTGCTGCCTAGCCAGGATCTAGAAAGAAAAAGACATACACATTCTAACTACAACACAAACACGCCTACTATTAGAACACATATGCATTGCTTTATAGTAGTGCTAATGTTAAAAACTCCAATTAAACCTTGACGAAATTATAAAAAATAAAGGAGGGGAGCTGAGTGTAGACTGAAGTAGTGGAGATGAGACTTCAACAGGGCACGGGGTTGGCGGGAAGCAATGGGGCTGGGAAGGAGCCCCAGGGCATTCAACATTACACAGCATATCCAAAAACGTAGATCAGAATCTAATTACCAGATGTAATAGGAAGATAGATTAAGTGGAGCTTTTATGACCCAGTAACTCTTTCTATTTTGTGTTTGACAAAACCCAACTGATTTATTTTCAAAATTTTTGTGTTTTATTTCACAATAGTAAGAAACTATTTCAGCCTGTACTTCTCAATAAAAACAAAATTATTTTCAAAATTAAAAGTCTACACTAAATAATACTGTTATTATATTTTCTCTTGTTATGCCCTGAAATATTAGAAATATCTTAACATGCTTTCAAGAATAAATTCTGATCAGGTGAATGAAATTTATTTTATTTAAAAAAATATTTTTTTATTTCTTTTTTTTTTTTAATCCTCACCCAAGGATATTTTTCCATTGATTTTTAGAGATTGGAAGAGAGGGAAAGACAGAGAGAAATATCGATGTGAGAGAAACACATTGATTGATTGCCTGGGCCCAGGCCAGGGAGGAGCCTGCAACCAAGGTATGTGCCCTTGACCAGAATCGAACCCAGGACCCTTCGATTTGTGGGCTGACACTCTATCCACTGAGCCAAACCAGTCAGGGCTTAAAAAATATTTTTATTGATTTCAGAGAGCAAAGAAGAGGGGAGAGAGAGAAAAATATCAATTATGAGAGAGATTCATTGTGTGGCTGCCTCCTGCATGCCCCCTACTGGGGATTGAGCCTGCAATCCAGGCATTGCCCTGACCGAGAATCAAACTGTGACCTCCTGGTTCACAGGTTGACGTTCAACCACTGAGCCTCTCATCTCCGCTGATCCCGGGGCCTGGAGGCCTCTCGGCTCCGCTGATCCAGGCGGCCGGGAAGCCTCTCTGCTCCTCTGATCCTGGGGCCGGGAGGCCTCTCATCTCCGCTGATCCCGGGGCCTGGAGGCCTCTCGGCTCCGCTGATCCAGGCGGCCGGGAAGCCTCTCTGCTCCTCTGATCCTGGGGCCGGGAGGCCTCTCATCTCCGCTGATCCCGGGGCCTGGAGGCCTCTCGGCTCCGCTGATCCAGGCGGCCGGGAAGCCTCTCTGCTCCTCTGATCCTGGGGCCGGGAGGCCTCTCATCTCCGCTGATCCCGGGGCCTGGAGGCCTCTCGGCTCCGCTGATCCAGGCGGCCGGGAAGCCTCTCTGCTCCTCTGATCCTGGGGCCGGGAGGCCTCTCATCTCCGCTGATCCCGGGGCCTGGAGGCCTCTCGGCTCCGCTGATCCAGGCGGCCGGGAAGCCTCTCTGCTCCTCTGATCCTGGGGCCGGGAGGCCTCTCATCTCCGCTGATCCCGGGGCCTGGAGGCCTCTCGGCTCCGCTGATCCAGGCGGCCGGGAAGCCTCTCTGCTCCTCTGATCCTGGGGCCGGGAGGCCTCTCATCTCCGCTGATCCCGGGGCCTGGAGGCCTCTCGGCTCCGCTGATCCAGGCGGCCGGGAAGCCTCTCTGCTCCTCTGATCCTGGGGCCGGGAGGCCTCTCATCTCCGCTGATCCCGGGGCCTGGAGGCCTCTCGGCTCCGCTGATCCAGGCGGCCGGGAAGCCTCTCTGCTCCTCTGATCCTGGGGCCGGGAGGCCTCTCATCTCCGCTGATCCCGGGGCCTGGAGGCCTCTCGGCTCCGCTGATCCAGGCGGCCGGGAAGCCTCTCTGCTCCTCTGATCCTGGGGCCGGGAGGCCTCTCATCTCCGCTGATCCCGGGGCCTGGAGGCCTCTCGGCTCCGCTGATCCAGGCGGCCGGGAAGCCTCTCTGCTCCTCTGATCCTGGGGCCGGGAGGCCTCTCATCTCCGCTGATCCCGGGGCCTGGAGGCCTCTCGGCTCCGCTGATCCAGGCGGCCGGGAGGCCTCTCGGCTCCGCAGATCCCCGGGCCGGGAGGCCCGTCTCCGCTCTGGGGTGCCTGGCCAGTCTGGGTGAGGGGCTGAGGGCTGTTTTCCGGCTGGCGAGTGACTAAAGCTTCCAACCGCTCCTTGTTTTCTTCTCTTTTTTTTTTTTTTTTTCTGGGCCAGCTTTAGCTCTGAGGCCTCGCTGCTGAAAACATCGATACAATGTTGCGGTCCGAGCCCGGCTGAATGGAAGCCCTTTTCTGGGGTTTTGTTTAGCTTCTTATTTGCAACATAGTATATAGTTGCTTAGAGTTGCAACTGAGAGGCTGGCAAGTTAGGCGGGGAACGTTGGAGTCTGCAGCAAGCAAGCCTCGTGCTCGCTTCAGTGCCTGGCTGCCGGCCGCCATCTTGGCTGACAGTTAATTTGCATATACTCACTGATTAGCCAATGAAAAGGGTAGCGGTCGTACGCTAATTACCATGTTTCTCTTTTATTAGTGTAGATGGGTCATTACATTAAAGGACTTACTACTGACCTCTCCAGAGAAACTGAAAATGCAGAACCCATGAAGAAGCATATTTAAAAAAAAATAGATTTAGATATATCCTTTCTTCATATACCAGGGGTAACTTGAAGAGAATTTTAAACACTTAAAACAAACAATCTCCTGTATGTGTCTGGGTTGAAAAGATAAAAAAAAATTTAATACAGTTGGAAGTATTCTGGCAACTAAGAAACATGAACTATCTTTTTCATAATGGTTACTGAGTTAACTATACTGATAGGATTTCTTTTCCTAGAAAGTTAGACTTTAATTTTAAAGGCGAACTACAAAAAAGTTTAGTTAAATAGAAACTTTTACGTACGTTAGGGTTGTTTCCATTTTTGAGACATGCTCGAGGTCTTCATCTGGGTCTCTGAATCCAGTAAAGGAGTAGTAAGACTTGTCCCATTTGATGGGCCTGTCAGACATCCTCTTCGCCTCTTTGGGAGGCTGGGGACGCACATTGCTATTCAAGCTTTGGACATGCTCAACTGATAAACTGCATGAGTTGAGAATATATAATACTGTGCTTAGCAGATCTCTGGTGTGCAAAGTAAATTTGACCGCTCGAAATCCTAGAGGATGTAATTCCCCCAAACAATAAAGACAGGTGATTATTTGCTTCATTTAAAATTTTGTCATACAGAATTTACAAAATAAAAATCTTTTAAAACAGTCCATTACCGATTAAAATTCATCCTATTGGCAAATCATCCCTCAATGGCACACTACTGCCTTTCTCCAAATCTATACCAATACTGTCTACCTTAATGAATTCCTCTAATTGTCAGTTCCTTTTCTAGTTTGGCACCAGTGACCAAACCCACCCAGCCCAAGAAGGGAACTCAGAATATTTTCTTTCCTTTTTCTTGGTTAATCCTCACCAGTGGTTATTTTTCTACTGACTTTTAGAGAGAGTGGAAGTGAGGAGAAGAGACACACAGAGAGAGAAACATCGATGTGAGAGAGACACATGGATTGGTTGCCTCTCACATGGGCCCTGACCAGGCCCGGGGACTGAGCCTGCAACCGAGGTATTGAATCTGGGACTCTTCAGTCAGCAGATCAACGCTCTATCCACTGAGCCAAACTGGCTAGGGCTCAGAATATTTTCAATGCTGCCCATAAATTTGGTCTCTACAGACTAAGACAGTGGTTCTCAACCTTCCTAATGCTGTGACCCTTTAATACAGTTCCTCATGTTGTGGTGACCCCCAATTTCATTGTTACAAATTGAACATAATTAAAGCATAGTGATTAATCACAAAAATAGTAGGTAATTATATATGTGTTTTCCGATGGTCTTAGGTGACCCCTGTGAAAGGGTTGTTCAACCCCCAAAGGGGTTGCGACCCACAGGTTGAGAACCGCTGCTCTAAGAGATGGTAAAGTTCTCCTACGAGCAAGTGTCCACCAAAGGTGGTTTCGAAGATGAAGGGGGAGCTTTAAAGGGGGCTGCCCTGTGACAGTGTTTCAGAAGAGAAGAGGAACCAGACAATCTAGTCTCAGTGATGACAGAAACTCATCTAGAATTTTCTCTATGATTGAAAGAGACTGTCCTGTCCTCATAGTTGCCCAACTAGCTAGTAACTCAGTATTTTCAGAAGTGATTTAAAATTTCTAAATGCTTAACTGTGCTTGACAATCTGATTTCGATACTGGGTAGTCATTGTGCTAAGGTTAATAATCTAACTTGTTAAGTCATCAATAGAAAATCCACTGTTTTTTTAGCCCCTTTACTGGGTGGTTCTTAGTTAAATTACATAACTTTTCAACCAACACTCCCACCAACTGTGCCATTATTATCTCTCCTTTCAAATATGAACAAAGACTCAATCCAAAGGTATTCTGGCAATGCCAGACTAAATGAACCTATTTAACATGAAGCTTGCAAAAAGACCAACTAGAAATAAGAAAACATACCTAAAGTACTAAAGGGTTCCTGGCCATCAGAGGAATTCTGGTCTGTTTCTCTTACATAAAATGTGAGCTGAGTTGGTTTCAAAGACTTGGAGCCTGGTTTCTGAAGGTTTTCTAAATAGACACTTAATTTCTGAAGAGAATTTTCATTGACTTCCTGGAAAAAATATTAAGGGGCATTTACATACAAATTAGAAAAAGGAAATAACAGAAATTATATCTTGACCTTTTTAACACATTTGAGGGTATTAAATACTGCATTATTAAAAAATGTTGAAATTTCATCACATTGGTAGAGGAGGAAAAACATTTCTCTACTATTAGGCTTAATTTTCCATACATGTTAGATTTAAAAACTTTAAATTATTAAATTAAATATTTAATTACATCCCCAATAATCAATACATCTTTTCAAGGTAATATTTTTCTGTTGATTCAACTGACTAATTACAAAAAAAAAATCCCACAAAAAAACAACACACAAAAAACGGGTACATAAAACACCATTACTAATACTCTAAAGAGTTTACATGCTAGCTTTATTGCCTGCATAAAACATGTCAGATTTCATAAAAAACAACATATTTTCCAATTGCAGTATCTATATTTCAAATTAGTTCAAAGCATTGATTATATCACAATGACAAAACAATGCGAATGTAGAGAACTCTCTGTATTAGCTTATAACTAAGGCAAATAAACTAAACAGGAACATAGATTAAGATTTAAAAATAATAAATATTTACCCTTTCTTTGGGGTGTTGTCCAAAGAAATCTGGATGCACTGCAAAATAGAATGGCCTCAAGGCATTGACTGCTTCAGCCCCCGAGAATGCTCTTGAGCAGAAAAACCAGCGTGGAGACACCTTCTCCAGACATAACCTTTTAATAAGATGTGAATTTATTATTTGTTGAGGCCCTGATGTCCACACAAATCCCCAGTGTAAAGTGATGGCAACATTAAAATTACTATGTATGAAAAAATTAATATGTATGGAAAATGCCATAGGACAAGAAACCAAAATACAAAATTTTGTGATTTTCTGAAATCTACCAAGTTTTAACAAGCAGTGAGTACCATACAGTTTATAAAACCACATGACATAAGTTCTACTGATACAATATGAAAAATAATATTAAATACTGATGATACAACTTCCCCTCAAAAAACCCACTTGGAAATGTTAACTGGCTTCACTGCAAATGATGATGATTTTCTGTATCAAATGTCATCTTTTTATACTGAAAAATATTCTGAGAATTATAATGCTTAAAAAGAAGATTCAGACATCTCTTCGTTCATTTCCTCATTGCTGGCGTGCTAATATTATTTTGAGAGTGTTTTTTTTAATGTACTGTTTTAAATCTAAATGAAATTATTTGCAATTTTGGGGAAGCACTTCTCTGACAACTATTTTTGCATGTTGTAATTTACCTTTTTCATTTATATCATAAATGGAAAATATTGGGCACATTTTTGTCTCATCACGTATACTGAGTCTTTTGAAAAGTTTTCTAGTTTTATTTATTTTATTTTTAAAAAAAATATATTTTATTTATTTTTTACAGAGAGGAAGGGAGAGGGATAGAGAGCTAGAAACATCAATCAGCTGCCTCCTGCACGCCCCACACTGGGGATGTGCCCGCAACCAAGGTACATGCCCTTGACTGGAATCAAACCGGGGACTCCTCAGTCCGCAGGCCGATGCTCTATCCACTGAGCCAAACCGGCCAGGGCAAAGTTTTCTAGTTTTAAAATGGTAGGACTATAGTCATTTCTGCAGATTATTTTTAACAATCTGGAGACCACCAACATATTTTCAGATTACCCTTTGTGTTTTTTGCAAGTATTCTAACCTTTTATAAAGTCAACATATAGGCTGCATATTAGGGATATAATGGAAGTTTGAACAGTGAAGGAAATAGTGAGCTAGGTGTGAAAGTCCTTGATACGAGGCAGCAAAATGGAGTGACAACTCCATTTTTTCCCCATCTGAATGTTGGTTATCATTTCCAAATGTCTGACAGACTCTTAGCTCTCCTGCCAGCCGCTCAAATTTTACAAGTCTAAAAAAAGGAGTAGAGGTCATTATTGTCCTTCTAAACTCAGCCTGGAAACAGAAGGTAAGGCAGCAGTTAGTTCAATCCAGGATTTTTCTCAGTGTTGCCAAACCACAAAACCTCAGATTCACTTCTGCCCAAACTAGCATACCACATCCACCCCATTTTCAGTTAGTCTTGTTTCTTCTCACTTTTATATCCCTGGAAAGCATCCATTCTTCCGTTTTCCTGCTACCAATTATCACCACAAAATTGGATTGCAGAGCCTCCTCATCAGTCTACTTTTCCCTAACCATACTGTATATAGGTTAATTTTCCTAGAGTCCCACTATCACTGTATTCCCTACTAAAACATCTCTCATGGTCTTTCAACTCCTGCAGAATAAAATCCACTCCTTAGTCTAGTATATAAATTTCTCTATAATAATTTTCAATCTATCTTTCAAACTTGATCTCCAGCCACTCCTTACAGAAACCCTCAGGCCCAGCGTCCATTGATCATCCTCTCCTCCACGAAGTCTAAACTCTAAAACATCCTCCCTGTCTCTCACTTCCGTCTATTTAATTGTGCTCACTCAACAATTACCTACTATGACTATGCATACCTACTATATTCCAGGAGGCATTGTACTATTTCCCCCAGAACCTTCCCTTTTCAATCCTCATTGTAAAAAGTCTTTCCCTTTTGTAAACTCAAAACAAACAAACAAACAAACAAACAACCAAACAAACATACCTCCAACTATTTGGAACTTAATACCATAATATGTAAATGACATATTCTCATTTGTTCTTTCCTTCCACCTACCCACCCTCAACTACCACTGTATTCTTGAAGGCAGTAAATATGTTTTATGTATATGTTGTTTGCTGTGTTAGTTTGGGTCTGCTGAAAGCAGAGGCCAAGATAGGATTAGATGTGCAAGAGAATTACTGGGAAAGGAAGAAGATAGGGAGAGCTTTCAGACCATGATTCAGGTCTGACACCTGCAGGAGGAGGAGGAGGAACGGAGTGTTGAGTAGGAAGTCTGGGGCTGCAGCATAGCTCCAAGAAGGGCTCAGCCATGCCAAGGGGGAGTCCTTGAGCCAAAGTCACCCAGTGGAGGAATCCTGTGTCTTGCTAGAATAATTCTTAGGATTTATAGTATGTATACATAAACAGCAAATATAGCAGTCACATGACCTCAGTATACAATTTTAATGCAAAGAGTGGTTTTCCATAAAACAGCAGTAGAATTGAGGGCAACATGATAAAAAGTGTGTTAAGGACAAACTTTATCTTTTTTCCTCTTAAGCTTTTCACATTGAACTATTCTGAAAGTTGGTATTCTTTTTACCTCCTGCTCTGAATGGGCTCTTGCAGGACATGATGTTCATATGAATTTTCATTTTCTTTTTTTGTTCTTGCCCTCCACCATAATATAAAATAACATTAGAACTTGAAAAATAACAGCCCCCTCCTAGTAATTATAGATTGGACCATGAAGCTTACCTCCTCACAGGTCTCAGGAAGCAAAACATTTCTGTGCTTGATCTTAGCCAAAAGGCCGAGAAGCGATAAAACATTTCTGAATATACATGTATGTCAACTTCCAGGCATCCATTAACTGCTAAAAAGTGACAAAAGGGTATTAAACACAAGCATAGACTAGCAAAACTTCAGTTCTCATGATTAAGATGGCTTTTTAAAAAATAATCAAGTACTTGGTTAATAACATAATATATAACCATTTCAATAATTTATAGAACTTTCGTTTCCTGGGCAAAAACAGCAAAGACTTTTTCCTTTTTAACAGACTAGAAAAGGATTAAACAAATTCTGCATTAGCTTAGTTTAGATTCACTTATCTAATTAAATTTATTTACTTACTTAAATTTATTAATCAGGAGAGCTCATGCTGGGCCTTCCATTTTGGAAAGATCAACAGAATTCATCAGCTTTATGGTATAGTCAACAAACAATACTAATTGGATTTCTGTTATCTTGTCTCCCTGAGTAGATTGATATAAGCTATCTACCCTCTGGCTAGGGAGGAAAACTGCAAATCATTTATTCTTAAGAGTCCTTGGTTAGGGAAGATAGGATTTACAGCTGGCTCCTAACTGCTGTTTAACTCTCTGTTTCCCTATTCCACTAGTGGTGGCTTACTGGCCTGTGTCATTTATAGAACTTCCTTTCAACATTTCTCTTAAAATACCTAGATATTTAATAATTTTTACTATTTAACCCAGTAGAACATCAAAGTTTAAGTTACCAAAGACTTTACTATTTTTTAAAAATATTTTTTTATTGATTTCAGAGAGAGAGAGGGAGAGGGAGAGATAGAAACATTGATGATGAGAGATAATCATTGATCAGCTGCCTCCTGCCCACCCACAACTGGGGATTGAGCCTGCAGACCGGGCATATGCCCTGACCAGGAAGCGAACCGAGACCTTCTGGTTCACAGGTTGACACTCAACCACTGAGCCACCCCAGGAGGAGACTGTAACAACATGAAATCTTGCATGTAAGAAGAGATCTTAAAAACAGAAACAAAAAACAACCCCTAAAGTAAATAAATGAGTACTCTCAAGAGGATGGACTGGGACATTAGCCTTAGAATCTTATCTCACACTAACCCAGCACAGCAAAGGACCTTCGGTTTTGAGTGGTGCCAAGCCCGAACAGCAGAGACAGAGGATTCCCTGTGTTCATAAAAGGGCGAAGAATAAAAGAAGTCCCCAAAAGATAAGAAAGCAAGCAAAGAACCAAAGTTACATTAGAAAGAGGGGGGGAGGGGGAGAGAGGGAAAGAGAGGGAAAGGGAGAGAGGAGAGGGAGAGAGGAGAGAGGGGAGAGAGAGAGAAGAGAGGAGAGAGAGATTGCAGAGGCAGCAGCTGGGACTTAAATCAGGAAAATTCCTGGCAGCGCTGCAAATAAAAATAAGAGTCCAGGTCTCAGCCCTGGAAACCCCCAGTCCAGGCAGCAAGCAGGATGCCAGGTACTCACCCAAGAGGACTCCGCTGCTTGTGTCCTATCAGAGTTGCCAGAATATGTAACCTGACAACCAAGGGCTGAACTGCCTGTCACTGCTTGAGCCAATTAAGCAGAGACAGAGTTGAATCATACATGAGCGTTTATTCCAATACTGCTGGCAGTATGGGAGGACAGCAGGTCATCCACGAAAATCTGTTCTGCAACCCCCATAAACCAGCTGCCTATATTGGATAGGACAAAGATTACATAGGGAAGTAGGGATTACAGGCAGGGAAGTAGGCAAGGTGGGCTGGGGCGGGACTCCATTGTTTGGACAACAAGGTTGTTAATCTTTCCAAGGTTGTTAATAGGCAGTTCTTGAATGAGAATGGACCTGATCCCCAGGTC